TACATTGTGTCATAAGGAAAAGATATTCTAATATAATTTATTGAACTTGAATTAATGATTCTGTTAAAGTAAATTGCTTACGATAATAATCTTTATACGTCAATTCTAAGAAAACTTTTAGGATACCTTACAAAGTTAAAAATTTAAACCAGGCAAAATAAGGAAGCCCATTTTGTGACGCGATTCTCGAGCGCATAGAGACGCAGTTGTAAAATAATATTCATTAATTTATGCACCAATATGTTATATTTCACCTACATGCAAACAGGCATTTCAATTGAGCAATAATGCGGCTCCCTTACACAGAGTAGCTAGTATACAGATTATTCATCTATTTAAATTAAAAAAGTCATCGACATACGTTTCAAATATGAAAACTTTGTAAATCGTATTTTTATTTGTAAGAGGTATGTATTGATCGGATCTGCTAATTGATTCCGGTACATCTTTGTGTGATCATTATCACAATCTATGTTAAAAATACTTTGAGAATGTAAAGGAACGAATGTTAGAATCTATACATGTAATAAAATTGTAACTAAGCCGAATCTGTACATTAAATATTTATTTTTTGGAAAATATTATTGAAATAAACATTATTTCAATAATACGGGGCTGAGCCGCGGGCAATGCTAGTTAAAAAAATATATAAAGTAGGGTAATAATATAGGATGGTTATAGATGGTTGTAATTTATGAATATTTTGCAAAAATAAGCTACCGGTAATGATATTTGTTAATTAGGTCATAAAAATCATCACTTTTGAGAGCTACCGTAATATTATAATACTAGCGGCTCATCCTCGCTTCGCTCGGTTTCGCTTCTGGTAAAACAAAAACAAATCTATCCCTCGGGAACCGTACATTTTTCGGGATAAAAAGTACCCTATGTGTTATTCCAGAGTTATAATCTATCTCTGTGCCAAATTTCATACAGATCCGTTCAGCAGTTCTGGCGTGAAAGAGTAACTAACATCTATACTCACAAACTTTCACATTTAAAATATTTATTACCGATATGCGAACAACATCTAGGAATGCTTGATACCCTCTAGGACCTATGGTAAAACTAACTCTCGACCTTGTAATTTTTTTTTTATTTTTCTCTTTTATAATACATTATATCATATTATTTTATGATAACCACATTTTATTTTACATGAAAATACTCCATAAAAATGATCAAACCATTTTCTAAAATAATTCATAATGTGTTTGTTATTCTACATGAAATACCCAGCGCATCAAATGAACAGCTGTCGGTCTGGTCGTTTGTCACACTCGCACGGGACACAATTAACGCGCTTAATTGCACCACTGCGCTCAATTACTTCTAGTGCGTTTTACTGCAACCGAATTGTTTTATAGAATTTTATCATTATTATTTGAAATCTGATCTTTTTTGCGTTTTACGAAATAAGGTATTTCACGACACGTTTGGCTCGGTTTGTAGTGACCCTGCTTTCTGTGCCAGCGGTCGCGGGTTTGAATCCCGCTGGGGGCATTTTTTGGTGTAATAAGCACCAAGGTTTGTACTCTAGTCATGGGTGTTTATATTTATATTCATAATATGTACGTATTTAAAGTTAGGTATATACTTATTTATATATTTGTAGTGTATCAACTATCTGGTATCTATAACGCGGGCCTCGTAGCTAACCATAGAACTAGATTGTGCTGTATGTTAATGTAAAAAAAATACAAGTTTTTGCTCACGTCCGCGCAGTATTTAAAAAGACAGACTTTCATACAAACTTTCAATTACTTTTTTATACCTCCTTAGGAGTAAAGTTACCAAAAAATATTTCATAACGTATATTTACTCCCTATAAAGACCCTACCTTTTTTTTTTTTTTTTTTTTTTTATGTCGGGAAATGCATTTACGCATACCACCTGATCCCCCAGGTGGTGATGTGGGGCTCACCGGCTAGAATGCCGGTACTACCCACTAAAACCCGACATTCCCCTCCCCTCCGCCTTAATGGGACGCCGCAGGATCGCTTGCGCATAACTACTACGGCGCCCCGGCGGCAGGTCTGCCTAAGCGCTAGGCAGACCACCAAACCAATGGGGCTGCTCCACAGTCAACTCTGCTACGCCAGAGAGGTACCCGGAGCAGCCCCATTAAACCTAACCACCGCCCACCGAAGTGGGCCACCTCCAATCGGCTGCAGAGGACAGGGAGAGCGGCAACGAAACACCGACACTCCTCTTCCCCTGCAGCCCCACCGCGTCCGCCATCAAACGGTGGCGGCCCCGTCTAGGCCGCGGAAGGTAGGGAGAACGGCGCACCGAAATACCGGCACTCCTCTCCCGCCGCGGCCTACTCCTCCGCCGGATGCGGGCCTGCGACCACAGTCCCGCAACCGGCACCCATCATCCGGTTGTGGGACCAAGCGGTTCCACCACCGGTGGCCGCAGCGTCTTCGGCTCGAGTCCTAGACGAGCGGCCCCACCCAAGCCATTTGGTCCGCGCCGGATTTCTCCGGTACCACCCGCCGCCCTAAGCGGGTGGCATTCCCCTATCCGCCACCTGGGGACGCGCCCGGTAGGAGTTGGCTTCTCCCCCGGGATAAAGACCCTACCTGCCTCAAGTTTGTAGTATTTTTAATAATCAGTGAAGGCTATTTTGTTTTTACTTACATGACCTGCTAGTAACTTTCTACCACCTGCGTTGTTATGTCTATTTAGTTCTAAACTAATGAACGTGATTTATATGAGATCGGGTAAAACAGAGCTAAAGATTTAGCTTTTAAATAATTACGTAATTAATATAAACGTAACATTATATAATTAATGTAATGCGATATTATTTAATTGTTCTGAACATATCTATACATATAATAAAATTGTAACTAAGCCGAATCTGTACATTAAATATTTTTTGGAAAATCTTATTGAAATAAACATTATTATTGATAGGTCATCATGTCACCACGAGAACACCACTGGACAGATTTTGATCAAATTTGATATGATGATAACTGACTATCTGGGTCAACATATAGGATACTTTTTACCCTGGCAAAATATCTCATTTCTTAGAAAAAATACAAAAACTGCAATGTAAGAGTATACTGATATGTAAAACCGAAGAATTTGGATTTTGGTCATCTGAACGCGGGCGGAGCCGCGGGCAATGCTAGTTTAATAATAAAATTGAAATCAAATAAGTCTATACTAACTTAAGGTCAGTTAGTTCAGAGGAAATAAAATAGTAATGTCGTTTTTTGAGAAACATACCAAAATTGCAATTTTTTTAGAAAATACCTGTGTAGATAAACTTAAAAGTGAAACCTTCTCTATATATAAAATTTGATCCTAATCCTTTGAGCCGTTTTCGAGATAGGTATACTAAATAAAATATTTATACAAGAATTGCTTATTTAATTATAAGATATAGGCCTAAAAATGGCTATCATAGATTAAAGAAATATTCAAAAACTGCAGTAGTAGTAGCTAAGCAAGCTTAACCCTGAACAGTGCAGGTAACCTAACACCAGGACGCTCTTCCTGTCCTGTGAATGTGACATCAATATGTGGTTTAGTTAACATTACATGGATATTTATATCCTACCAGCATTAAATATATTAAAAAAAAACATTTTAATAATATTAGTATAGATAAGCATATATAAATATTGAGATTGTTATTTTAAATTTTATATCCTAAAATATGCCAAGTTTAATATGGAATGACTAAACATATAATAATGTGTTTTTTTAGGTCAATTATAAAATTTATTTTCTTTTACTAATTTATTTGTAATTAGCAGTTAAATAATTATAATATAATCAAATCTTGGAAGTTGAAAGTTAATTTTGTGGGCGTTGTAGTTTGACTTTGTGAACAATTAACGATTCTCCAGCGTCCGCGACGAAAGCCGCGACCATCGGATGTTGGTGGTTTTAGAGAGTAGTCTCACAGTGCCCTACCCAATAGCTTACCATGACATATTTCCCTAACGCTATCAAAAAAGGTTATATTATTGATTATTTATAACTAGACTACGCAGTGAAAGCGATAAAAATGCACGCAATATAGATAAAAATAAACTGAAATATTAATGAAATGAACAAACGGTAATATAGTAAAAAAAGCAATCAACTTGTAATATTAGCAACTACAACACATTCTTACTAAAACCATATCGACGGATATTTTGGTAAAATGAAATCTTATCGTGATACAGTTTAATTATAGATAACGCTACGTAACTTAACAAAAACTAGCGTCCACATGTAACTATTACTACTATATTGGGTTAATCTTATCATAACCTTTCTGATAATATGTTGACACATCTATACATATAATAAAACTGTAGAGGTCGAATGTCTGTACATAGAAAAAAATGTTAAAAACCCAGTCAGGGTGGTGTAAGAAGAGAAATACAACAAATCCAGATATATTTTTTTCTCTGTCTGTTTGTACGAGCTAATCTCCGAAACTATTAGACAGATTTAAATGAAATTTTGCATGGTGGTACCTTATATCCTCGGTCAACATTTTAGATACTTTTCATCCCGGAAAATTAAAGCGTTCCAGTGGGATAGTTAAAAAACGACAGTAATTTATACAGCTTAGTACACAACAATTTATGCACCTAATTTAGTAAAATTTGGCATGCTGATACCTTATATTGCCGGTCAAACAACAGGTTACTTTTTATTCCAAAAAAAAAAATGAACGGTTCCCGTGGGATAGATCTGTTTATGCCTTTCTAGAGACAAACCCGAGCGAAGCGAGGGTAAGCTGCTAGTAGTAAACATATTAATCTGCCATTGACAGTTCTTTATCACTAAGCAAAATGTGATGTGATTATGTAGTCATACATGGTCGTCGTTCAAAGTGGATTGTTATAAACTAGTTTTTAACATAAAAACATTAATTATAAATTCATCTCAAGTGTTGTTAATATAACGTTTCTTAGTTAATTAGGTATTTATTTATTAAATCTTACGCGGAAATTGTTGCCAGTTTTGTATGGTTAGCCAAAATGTTCAGTTATCAGTATTTAACAGAGGCGCATTTAAAAGGATTTACAAATTATAAGGTTAGTTTATTTATCATTTAATGTCATGGCAAAATTTTGTTCCACCATTGTACTTTTTTATTAGTTTTTCTTTGTGGTATTAGAAAGAGATCAGCACGCAAAAAATATTAAATTTCTTTTTTTATGAGGTGCCTAGTTTATTTGAAATAATTATGTCCTTTTCAAGTTATTTTTAACCTTTAAGTACACTTAAAAAATTACTGTAATCTTTAAGTCATCACTGATTTTCAATATTTAATTATATTTTAATATTTCTTATTTTAAATTTCATTAACAGTAAAGTAAGAGTTTCATTAAAGTGTAGTAAGAGTAAACGTACGTATGAGTTACGTTTTTTAAACAACGCGGTTTCTTTTTCATTTAGTTCATTACTTAGTAACCTGTTTTATGATATAATTTTCAATATTTTAATATTAACATGAAGTATTTATTAAGATCTTTGTACCGTAGCAATATTATATAATTACGACAACGATAATTACATAATTATAAATTGTAGATAAGCATGGGCATTAATAAACTAAAATTACTCTATGGATTCATCTTAGTATATGACACAGAGCAAAATATTGTCTTATTTATTGACATCCAAATAGATTAGCGAGTATATTTTTTTATCTGCTATCACGCGATCAAAAATGAGGATCGGCTGATTGTACGATGACGTCACTTGGAAGTAAGAAATATGTAAGGCAGTTAGCCTTACATATTGCTTGCTTCCAAGTTGCGTATGACACTTGATTGTTTATACTTTGAAGAAATACCTATATGATAATAAATACAGATATTCGTATTGTTGCAATATACTTAATTTATTTATTGGTATACGTATGACTGTTACATGTGATTTAGTTATAAATTCAATTCTTAGGGTCTTTCAGCATCTCTTATAATTTCGTTATGACTATCTGCCCTTGTGTCACAGCCGTTTTATTCGGTAATACGAGAATCTTTTGTAAATATCACTAATTATAAAATATGGGATATTATCGGTCCACGTTTTGTTAATTTATGGGCCGCAAAATTAGCTTCATTTTTAATAGAAATACTATTTTATAAATAAAATAGTATTTCTATTAAAAATACTATTTTAATAATATAAGTTTGTACTCCACAACTTATTTATACTTTTAATAAAATAAATAATTGGTAAATGTTTTATTTTACTTTTAACCTATTTGATGCAATAGAACCGTCAATGCACATTATAAATGCACCTATATGTTTTTTTTTTCAGTATAGTGCTGTAGATACAAGCCCAGTTAGCTATTATGTTACGCAACCTTTTTGGAATTTTACGATTAAGGTAAAAAATATTTTTATATATATTTTTCCTAATTTCCTAAGACATGATATTATTAAGCATCCGACCAATTTCATTCTACGTGACTCAAAGTAATCTTTGCTGGTGGTGTAGTGGCTAGCATGTATGGCTGTACACCCGGAGGTCCTGGGTTCGAGTCCCGGGTCGGGCCAAGTTTAGTTACTGCGTCTTTGTGTATAGTAAGCCTCAGTAACAGCCCGGAGTTGGGAAGTTGGCGAAGTTTCACCCCCGTGCCTCGGAAAGCACGTAAAGCCGTCCGCCCTGCGCCTTAACTCTCACCGGTCGTGTCGAGTAGTCGTCCCACCGGAGTATGAGAGTGACAGGAATAGAGAGTGCACTTGTGTCTGCGCGTACACTTGTGCACTATAATATCTCCTGCGCAGTTGGCTAGTCTCAAAGTGACTGGCCGCTGTAGCTGGAATCGGTCAAGAGAACATCATCAATATTTGCTTTACTTATAATTAATAGCCATAACAAAGATTTAAATAAAAAATGAACACTATGTAGAGAGTGGGAGATGGCAAGTTTTCTTCAAAATCCCTAGGAAAAACACAGTTACTTCTGTTTTACTAAAGAAGAAAACTTTTTGAAGTTATACTTATATTGGCACGCTTGGAAAAAAATATGAGAGTAAAATTTTTACGATACGCGCGCACACTGACAGCCAAAAAGCAACATGATGAAGTTAGCTGCATACTTTTTACAAACAGAGAGTTGTGACATACGAGATGAAATCTTTAGCTATTTTTGTTACAGTTGGACAGGTAGATGTAGTAAGTTCTTACTGTCCCCCCCAACGTGCGTTCACCTTGTCGTGGTGGGGGGCTCAGTAGTGCCCGGCAATACAGCCGGGCGCGAAGCCAAGAAACGTACAGGGAGGTGGCCCACTTCAGTGGGCGGTGGGAGGCGGCCCCCTGCGGAAGGCGGTGTTCCATGCGGGTTGCTCCTGGTACTTCTCTGATAGCAGAGTAGACCTTGGAGCAACCCCGTGGTTTTTGTGGTCTGCTTCAGCAGACCTGCCGTCGGGGCATCGTAGTTGAATGCGTAAGCATCGTAAGCATCAAGATCCTGCGACGCCCCATTAAGACGGGGGAAGGCTTTGTTGGGTTTTAGTGGGTAGTACTGGCTTTGCCGGTGAGTCCCACACCTCGTGCGTAAATGCATTTCCCAACGTTAAAAAAAAGTTCTTACTGTGTGGATCAAAATGACAGCATTTCAGATTAATATTTTTCATTTTTCTTTTGTAAAATTATATAGGAGGTAATAGTGTTGCTTAGTAATCTGTTTTTAAATAATAGCAAACTAAATTTAAATTATTATCCTTAATTAATTTTAACTTTTTAAATTACACATAGAACAATTATAAGGCTTAAATATTTAATATTATATTTTATATTTTTCTTTATGGTTATAAATATAATAATGGCAACACGTAATATAGATTACTAATTAATATATTTAAAATTGTAATAATTATAATAATAACAGTAAAAATTAAATAAATAATATTCCATATTCAATTATAAAACTAATTAAAATTATAAAAATGTTTAAAGTTAAAAAATATTATAAGGTAATTGGTGCAATTTTCATTTTGTTATTTGTGGGTAGGCTGTCTGTAACAACTATACCTTCGAGACATCTAACACCTCAGTCTCTCCCGTGACCATTATTGCTGTAAAGCATTCGAAACGTCGGGAACCAAAAATCAAAATAAATTCGCGAAAAAATCCGAAAAGATAGTTTTATTTAAAATGTCAAGTATTCGCGTAAATCTAAGAAAGTATTATTGTCAGTATTTTCATTCCTTAATAATAAAAAATGTATTTCTGTTAAAAAAATCGAAATACTAAAAAAATCTTCTTTTTCTAGTTCATCCCTAAACGGTTAGCACCTAACTTGCTAACATTTGGCGGATTTCTCTGCATGGTCACGTGTGTTTTACTAATGATCGTCTTTGACTGGGACTTCACCGCGGCCGGACGTCCTGGTGTCCGTGAAATTGAAGACTATAGCATACCTAATTGGATTTTCACCACGTGTGGTATATTACTGTTCCTAGCATATAATTTGGGTAAGTAGTTTTAATTTACTGATATTAATTTTGATACTAACGACTTAGGTTCTTTTTTTTTGATGTTGGTAAATACATTTACGCATACCACCTGTACAAATAGTTGTGTGGAACAAATAGTTGTGTGGGACTCACCGGCTAGAAAAGCCAGTACTACCCCCTAAGGCTCAACAAAACCTCCCCCTTCTTAATAGAGCGTCGTAGGATCGCTTATGCATTCAGAGAAGTACCAGGAGCAACCCGCATGGTACACCGTCCACCGAAGTAGGCCAACTCCCTGTGCCTTTCTTAGCTAAACTACCGGACGCTAATGAGAACCACGACAAAGTGAATGCATATTGAGGGAGCACATCCTTAGGTTCCTAACCTGTGTGTTGTCTAAGCTAGGTCATAGTCTATCTGTGCATTAAACTTGATCTAAATCCGAGATTTACGAATTAATAAATAAACAAAAACATGCAAATAAGCTTTCGCATTATATTAATAGTCCGATACTTTTGACAATTGAAATTCAAGATCCATTTATATTATAGGTTTTTTTAATTAAGAAACTTTTTGCAGGTATTCTAATTAGTAATCGAATTCTAGTACGTGATCAAAGTTAGGATGTAATATTATCACAATTGATTATTTTTTATATCTATCAGGTATACGCAATTTTAAATGAAATAAATATTTACTACACGTGGATTCAAATATTTAATGTCAGTTTAAAAAGAACGATCTAGATAATGTGCTGTAAAACTACGTAGTACAATTGAAGCATGTTATACATTGTGTCTTGCAAGTAGCAATAGAATCGCAAGGTTGCGGTCTGGATTTGAATGATTCAACGTCTAACTGTAGTAATTAATAGTAATGTATTGAGTTACTTAGTTATACCTTCGTTTTAACCAATGTAGGTAGATGATGGTCATAATACATGAAAAAGAGATTTAAATCTGGCTTTAATATCGATTTCGTTTGTTTTTGAAAAATGTATAATCTTTTAAAATCACCTGTTTTAACAAATCAAATATTTTAACTTATTTTCTAAAATAGTCAATTTACGTAAGGTAGAAAAATGAAAGGGAAAATAGAGAATACGAACATAACGTCATATTGACATCCGTGACTTTAGCTGTAAAAGAGATGTGCATTTGTGTTTTCAGTATACCTGCATTGTCTATATAGGTTATATCCACAGATATAGAGAGTGGACTAAGTGCTTCTTTGCCAGCCGTCAGTTAAAAATGACGGAAAGGCGCGACAGAGACAAAACGAATGTGCGGCCAGAAGTATAATTTTATGGCATTTAAATATAAATTAAAAAAATATTTATCAGTTATTTCTTAGTAACTTATATATATGTTTTTCGGTCACTACTGCAGATAGTAATTAATAATTATTTGTAATTACAAATAAACTATGTTCGTAAATTAGTAAATAAATGCTCTTTAACACTAATAAAAAACAAGTATTGACAGCGCGTTCGCTTTGAGGCCAATTTGAGAGTGGCCAATTTCATGAGAGTATTGCTTTGGCTCAGTCCATCCTCATCGTCTATAGTAATATGACGACACGTTTCGCTCAGTTTCTAGTGACCTTACTTGCTGTGCCAACGGTCGCGGGTTCGAGTCCCGCTAGAAGCATTAATTTATGTGATGAACACGAATATTTCTACTCCAGTCATGGGTGTTTATATTTATAATATGTATGTATTCAAAGTTACATATGTGTATCTATATAACACAGGCCTCGTAGCTTACCATAAAACTGGACGGTGCTGTGTGTTAATGTCCTAACATATTTATTATTATTTATTACGAATATAATATCTGCGCCGGAGATATCTAAGTAAGATTGAGGGCCGTGACCGAAAATCAAGAGATAATTATAATTAGATGTTACAATATTTGTTACAGATGGCTTAGATGGCAAGCAGGCCAGGCGAATCGGGGTGTCTGGTCCATTAGGAGAGCTGTTCGACCATGGCTTGGACTCGTATATCGTATTCTTTATTCCATATTGCTTGATCTCAGTCTTTGGTAGAGACGAATGGTCTTTACCTGTATTCAGGTATAAATGCTTTTTATAATATATCATATGTACATCAGATATTTTCGAAGTCGGTGCCAGCCAATTCAAAGCAAATCTAATATATTTTGATACCTAAAATGTATCATAAATTGATGTATAATATTTTAACTATATTTAGCGTGAATTTTATCTACTTTTTTTTTATTTAAATCATAATTACCTATATGATATTCATATCTTAAAATGTTGTCGGTTGGCACGAACTTCGAAAATATCTGATTAGGTATCTATTCTAAATGAAAACCCCCGTTTAGTTACTTCTTACATTTAAGTGCCTGGAAGTCGGTTTTTTTAAGTTTTTATAATCACATCCGATAGCGTAGTTAAAAATGAATTTCATAGCAATTGTACATTTTTAAGAAGGAAAATATATTTTTTGGCTCTCAAAACAATTTGTGTACTAATAGATATCCATACTAATATTATAAATATGAAAGTGTGTTTGTTTGTTTGTCCGTTTTTCACGTCAAAATGAAATTACGGATTGGCGTGATTTTTTGTATGGAGATAGTTGGAGGGCTGGATAGTGACAAAGGCTACTTTTTACCGCGGGAGATGATCTCCTTCCCACGGGAAAACACGTTATAATACAACCCAAAAAAATATTTATGGTCAGAATTACTTGAAACTTGGTATTAATGCTCTTCGATACAATTAAATAAATACGTGTTTTAGCATTTTTCGAAATTCATCCCATAAGGTCGTAAAATAGGGGATGAAAGTTTGTATGAAATCTACCTTTTTAGAGTTTTTTATAGTTTTAGCTCGAGCGAAGCCGCGGAATCTGCTAGTAATATACAAAATGACATAGGTTCGTTGCTTCTTGAAATAATTAATTATATTCTGGTATCTATCATTTGTTTTTATAACAATTTTCGTTAGATCAATCCAGATATAATCCACTTCACTTGTATAAATAAACGAAGTTTAAAAAAAAAGTAAATCGCATTATTACGCAATGTACGAAAACCCATAATACGAAAACAATAATGAAAATGTGTGAAGGAGAAAAAAAATTACAAACACACGCACACCGACATTTTATACTAATAATATTATAAAGAGGTAAAGTTTGTGATCTTGTGAGTTTGTGAGTTTGTGAGTTTGTGACGTTGTAGGGGGTAATCTCTGGATCTACTGAACCGATTTTCAAAATTCTTTTACCAATAGAAAGCCACGTTCTTTCTGAGTGTCATAGGCTATATATTAACCCGAAAAATGAAAAGGCTTTTTCGCGGAAGTCGGATTTGCAAAGTAAGTCGGAGAAAAAACGGTCGAACGAAAACGTTTCTTACGAACGCTGCCTTAACGATGAGAGATATATGATTATGTTCTAGAGAAAAGTTGTAGAGCTTAATAATGCCTACAAAAAAGTCAGCGACAGCATATGTCTAACTTTTATATTTAAGTCACAAAAAGTAGTTTTTATATTAAAAAAATAATTTAAAACGGTAGGTCATGTTTATTGGTCATATTATCAACAATTATGAATTCTTATCAAAATAAGTAAATTTATCGTCTAAAATGTTTAAAACAAAAGACTTTTCCCTTTTACTGCATATAATTTGGACAAATGGTTAAAGAGATAATACAACATATTCGTAGGTATGGACGAACCCGAGCGAGCTGTTTGTCTGTTTTTCTGTTTGTATGGGCTAATCTCCGAATGTATTGGACCGATTTAAATGAAATTTTGCAGTGTGGTACCTTATATCCCCAGACAACATCTTAGATACTTTTCATTCCGGAAAATTATAGAGTTCCCGTGGGATAGTTAAAAAACTATAACAACTTATACAGCTTAGTACACAAAAACTTACGCACCTAATTTAGTAAAATTTGGCATGCTGATACCTTATATTGCCGGTCAAACAACAGGTTACTTTACATCCCGGGAAAATGAACGGTTCCCGTAGGATAGATCTGTTTATGCTCTTCTAGAGGTGAACCCGAGCGAAGCGAGGGTGAGCCGCTAGTCTCTAATATATAAATATCTCGTGTCACGGTGTTTGTGATCGCACTCCTCCAAAATGGCTCGACCGATTTTAATGATTTTTTTGTATATTTAGTAGGTATGAGAATAGGTCGTAAAGTATTTTTCGCTCTCCTACCCCCACCCCTCATTTTTTATTCGCGATTTTAGTATTTTTGTATGAACAATATTATACAAAAACATAAACGAACCCGAGCGAACGAGAATAAGTCGCTGTATAACATAAAGCTAAAGAGATTTTTTTATAGATTGAACGTAAGCGTAGCCGCAGGTTCTGCTAGTATACCTATTTAAAGATAATGCATAAGTGTTAGATTTTTAATTTTAATTTCAAAACAATATGTGTTTCAAATCTTTCTCCTAAACGCACTTTTACAATAATTTTTAATTAAATCAAATAACACTTAATGTAAAATATTATTCCAGAGGTTACTTAATATTATTAAGTGTTATGCTGAACTTCTACATCAGCCATTGGGAGAAATACAACACAGGCATCCTATATATGCCGTGGGGATATGACCTTAGTATGTGGGTCAGTATATTTGTAAAATATTTTCATCAAATTGTAATTTGCGTATTTTTAATAAAAAAAATTAAATTTAGAGCACTTTTAAATAGTTTTTAGTTTCAGTTTATTTCAATACCTAATATTTTTTAAATATCACTGGACACATTTCTCAAATAATAATAATAACGTAAAAATTCTATAAAGGAAATTAAATTAATATGTTCCATTTTCTATTATTTTTTTTTTATTTTCAAAAACTCTTTACGATCTATTTATATCTTAATATTTTTTTCAGTATTTAAGTTAGTAGTAAATTAAACACTTTCTTAGATTTCGCCAAATAAAAGTTTGGCACGTTTGGCTCAGTTTGTAGTTGCCCTACTTGCTGTGCCAGCGGTTGCGGGTTCGAGCCCCGCTGGGGGCACACATTTGTATGATAAGCACGAATATTTGTGCTCCAGTCATGGGTGTTTATATTTATAATATGCATGTATTTAGAGTTATATATGTGTAGTGTATCGACTATCTGGTATCCATAACACAAGCCTCGTAGCTTACCATGGAACTAGATGGTGCTGTGTGTTAATGTCCCAACATATTTATATTCATCTATACATATAATAAAATTGTAACTAAGCCGAATCTGTACATTAAATATTTTTTGGAAAATCTTATTGAAATAGACATTATTATCGATACAGAGGCCGAATCTATAGTTTTTAGAATTTTTGTCTGTCTGTCTGTTACCGCATCACGGGAAAACCACTGAAGGGATTTTGATGAAATTTGGTATGATGTTAGCTGGTTATTCGGGTCAACTTATAGGATACTTTTTACCGCGGGAAAATGACTCATTTCTGAGAAAAAATACAAAAACTGCAATGTAAGAGTATACTAATATGTAAACCTAAGAATTTGGTTTTTCGTCATCTGAACGCGGGCGGAGCCGCAGGCAATGCTAGTTAATCAATAAATCTTTATCGTTCAGGCATCAACAATAATCTTCCTAATCCCAGGCATGTACGGCCCCGCCGTATACAAAATATATGTGATAGGAAACATCACTCTGGCTCAAGCCCTAGAAGTGGCTATACATTCCACAGGGCTTTTTACAACGCTGCCGGTTGCGATATACAATGTTTACTTGTAAGTTAAATGCTTTACGACATAAGAAAACCATTGTAGTTGTTTTTTTTTTGTTTATTTAAGTTTTATTTCAGGTTTTATCGCGTGAACGGTTTTAAGACAGCTTTTTATAATATAATTTACCATTAAAGTTCAATTCCATTTTCTCGTTAATGGCTTCAAAGTTCACTAAAGTTTCGGTTTTGACATTTCCAATAGTTATTCAAATGAATTGTTAAAGGTACTTTTATCGATATGAATATTTAATCAACTCCTGGAAGCCACTAAACAAAAGAATTGAATTGAATTTTATTATTTAATCAATTATTTCGTTAATTAAAACGAACAAAGATAGTATATCCTTTCCGGTACAGCGCGACGGACCGTCGCATTTTCTTTATTATGATATGCTGATGTTCATAAAATTATATACGTATTAACCTTATCTATATCGAATGCAAATCCTTTTGAGTTTTGTTAACCAGCTTCCCAAAAGAAAGAGGTTCTATGTTCGTCTATATGTATTTTTTTTTAATTTTAATATGACTAAGCAAATATAATACCTATACAAAATAAAAAAAATACAAAATGTCATGCTACAGCAAAATCCTATATTCAGACTTTTACTAAAAAAACTTAAAATGTTAATCATTCATAATTTCACTTTGAATATTACATTTAACTACTAATAGATATTTTTTTTAGATCATATAAAAATAAAACCGGTAAGATGTATCCATTAATGGAAGCGCTAAGGCCGATATGGCCAATGCTAATAATGACAGTCACTATGACAGTGTGGGCGTTGAAATCACCAAATGATGTACTAGAAAACAATCCTCGAGTTTTTCTATTTATATTTGGGACGATATTTAGTAATATCGCTGTAAGTATACTTGTATCTTAATATTCTATTTTAAATGTACTGATATTGTCTTTTTAATGATATGGTAGATTTATTAAAGTTTTCGTTGTTTTATAAATAAATAAAAACAGCGTTCTATAAATAAAAACCAAGTACAACATCATAATTTTAATGTGAAATTATAATATGGTATATTCGTAAACAAATATCATGTTGTGATTGAAAGCCGAGCTCCCGGCGCCTAAAAGAGAAATGCTGATCTAAACGGTATATATATGAGATGACTGACAAAAGCAGCGAGATTGCAACTAAATATGATAACATAACAGGAATGTTTGAGCTCGTGTAAACCTACAAGTATATACAAACATGGGCCTTATTAAATCATCATTACAATATTATTATTATTATTATAATACATCGAAAATATAAAAATCGGATGAAGGCTAAATCACAAAATCCAAAAGCAGATTTTGTTTGAAATAGCAGATTTTTGATTTATAGACCGTGTTGGTCCATACACTTGTAACTTGTTCTTACATATATACTAAAATCCGACGGAAAATAATGATCATTGATGTTCTCTACGAAAATATAATAAAGCATGTCAAATATATAAATAAATAAAATAAAATAATAAAAATGATTGAGATTCTAGATTCTTTGCTTTAATTGTTAGAATTGAAAATTCTTTTCGGATTTTATTGTCTATTTATTGAGGATACCTATAGGCTATCCAATATTACGTTATCACTCTTACAAGCGGAGCTATTACCTATACTTCTACATAAATATTATAATAAAGTAAATAATAGAAGCCGCGAGAAAACCTAATATATTTAAAACTACATGTAATCTCAGAATTTATTCTGACGTTCATCGTGGTGTAGAGGAATGTGCCTGAGCTTCTGCTTAGATTCAGCTTCTGCTTTTTTGATTCGGGACAATAGTTCCGGAGCTTACCTCCATGATATGTTCAAATTCAAAAACTATACTGCTATATAATAATAATGTAAAATTTATGTCAATAATTGGTAAAACAAAGCGTGACAACGAGTATCGTAACACGTTTGGCAATAGTTTCAATATTGGCGAAAAGTAAAGAAAGGAAAAAGGAGAGTTAAAAATTTCAAAAGTGATAAAAGGAAATTCAATCTATTAATTTAAATATACTATATATTTTAGTACGATATTTTTTTGAACTTAATAAAATATTTGTTATAGAGTCGCCTTATAGTTGCCGAGATGACTGATCAAAGCTGCGACACTATCTGTTGGATCAATATACAATTAATATTAACAGTTACAATTTCTTTGTATCTGCCGCAGTCGGAAACAGCTGTTTTATACATGTTTCTTATATTCACTCTATTTTCGCATATACATTATGGCGTTTGTGTGGTGAGTGACTTTTGATTTTCTAATAAATTTCATGTATTTAGTAGAAATTTGATTATTTGTGCCATAGCATTTATATGCTTATTTAAATATAATATAATATAAGATTTTTATAGAACTTAAAATATATAATCCTTACTGACAAAAATTAACCCAAAAGATAGAGTATGTAAGGCTAACAATGGTTTCTTTATATTATAATCTATACTTATTTTTTTCAATATTTGACCATATAACTATTTGTCGTATTTAGTACCCAAAATAAGTATAGTATAAAAATAAATTTTAATTTATCAATTATCATACAAATATATTTTTTTATATTTATTTCAAACGTTAGTAAATAAATTAAAGAAGCCAGAAGGTACTTAATGACTAATATTCTGATTATACATGACTATGATAAGGTGTATAGATTTTTACAGTAATTCTGTTTTTTAATAATAATTAAAAATTAACAGTTTAATGTAAATAAAATAAATATATAACTATTTTGTATTAACATAGATCTTATTATGTCATAAAATTTTATTTTTTAAAGACTGCGAAAAGTCGTTTATTCCTTACTTTTTGATTAAATTTATGTTGGTTATTTTTTATCTATAAATTAATTGATTATAACTCCTTTTTTACATGACAGGTGCGACAAATGTGCAATCATTTTGGAATCAAATGCTTCACTGTCCCAAAAGAAAAGAGAAAATAATTTTTTAGAAAATATTTTTTTATTAATAAAAATTAGTATTATTTGGTGTGTTTTATAAAAATAAAAGTTATTTACATATCTTCCCTTTCAATTGAGTAAAATAAGAGCATCAACCTGCTTTATCCTTAAAACACCAGGTAAGTAGGTACTGAGCAAAAATATGACACCGCACAATCTAATTCACAAAATAATACGTAATTCAATATAGAATAGCAAAAAATGAGCAACACGACAGCATCGGCCCAAAAGCTGCGCCTTTTTATGGGTGCGAAAGAGTCGGCTATATGTGCTCTGCGAGTTTGACAGCTACGTCTTTAAATTATACGTTCTCATAGCCTTGTAGCGCGCCGGGCGTTTTGATGAATGCCTGAATCGACGATACGCGCTGCAGCATTGTGAACTTTATTTTGTTGTATTACGGTTTATTTTACTCAAAATGTATGTATCAGTTATGCTGTTTTAGTACCGATTAGAAATTTAGTAATGGGGGGTGCTGGACACAGACACCGAAAGCGGGGTTTAGAATTTCAGTACAGCTTCGGATAGCTACGAAGCACTGTTTTGTTGCGCGTACAATTGTTTATCGAGGAGATTTTTTTTTAACCTACCCTATTATCGTAAGCCGGATCCTCTGAAGCTTTAATTTTACGTATTACGTTTCAAAACATAACAGTGGACTTTAGTGTTAGTGTATAGTGTTAATTGCGAGTTATGCTGTAGATTTTTCGGGTAAGTGAGGTGAATGCCGGTACGGTTTGGATGAAACTGTGGTGGTGTGGTAAAACAATGGCATGATCGGTTTTGTAGTTTTACGCATGCGAAAATAAAAATCCAAATGTAGCGGGAATGCAGACTATAAGGCTGGAGGTAAAATTATTTTTCAAACTTAACTAATACGAACGCGGTTTTCTAATAAGAATTTGCTTAAATAAAACGACAACGTGTTTTTTTTATGCTAGTACGTTTGTTTGTCGTTTGTGTGTTTAACAAGAGCTCTACATTTATATAAACAAGGTGCTTTTAAAGTGAAAGCTCTAGAATTTTTAAAGATAACATAAACTTTATTCTTCTAAGTTTCGTTAATTTAATTTTACTTTACAATTTACAATAAAATGAACTAAAAAATTAATTTCAATATTTTTAATACCAAACATAATATTTTTTTATGAATAAAAGCGCGATTGACAAATATTAATTTTATATGTACGGTTTTTTTATGCATAGGGATTAAAAAATCAAATAAAGAATTGAAAATTTTATACGCACTCGTTTCATTTTGTAAATTTTATAATAAATTCAGTATATAATATATCGGGATATACAAAATTAAACTGAATATGCCTAAAATTATTATTTTATTAGTATATCAGAAATTTCTTGACAGTTGAATATTTAATGTACACAATGTTTTTTCCTTTTATTTAATGATAAACATTAAATAGTCCTTATATTATAAATTATATGTTACATATAACTCAATTTTTATGAATTTTTAAATAATAACAGAAATAACTATTGGCATTATAGCAAGTAGCCTTAGCTAATAAATAGTTAAAATGAAAAAAAATAATTTCTTCATAACTTGTGCATTTTTTTATTTACAATGACAGTTTAAATGTAGAGAAACATGTCCAAGTGAGTTTTATACTCATTAAATTAAAAATAATTGGGCAATAAAATTTTAATTATCTTTCGGTATAGTTCGAAAGAGTCGCATAGGTATAATATTTTTTATGAAATAGTAAATATATTATGCCAATATAATTTTATGCGTCCGTACTGATTCTTTGCAATATTTGTATATTGTAAAGATTGTGAGTATTTTTATGCTCTCGATTAAACTCATATCATTTCATTCATCTATCAACAAAAAAATCACGCCAACCTGTTGTTATATTGTTGCTAAAAGAAAAATAGACTAATAAACAAAGTTTCACATTTATAGTATTAGTAAAGATAGCATAATCCTTTTAAAAGAAAAATATTTGTTTTTTTTCAATGCTGAGATTTTTTTAACCAAATTCTTGGATTTAGTCCCAAGCATTCACATTGAGTTACAAAAAAGTGTATTAACTTAAGTATAATAAATATAGATCTCTCATATAGTGTTCTAACTAGAACTTTAGAGGTTTTTTTTACAAAAAGCTTACTAAAAATATATTTTCATTCAAAAAATGATTGTAAATTCTAATAGTTATTTTTAATGGCACATTAAAAGCACATTTTAGGGAACGAAATGAAAAATCTATTGAAGTAAATTATTACTATGAGTGTGTAATAAAGCGACGGCTGTGTTTATAAAATTTGCGATTTGTTTTACTTTTTTAACGTTGTACGAACGATTTCCAAATACGATGAAATTTGTTAAACATTTGTGGGTATTAGCTAATTCATTTGTAGACAATATTTGAAAATAAGATCATAGAAATAAATTTGAAAAATACGTTTTTTATTACATTTTATAATATGAGTACGTGTAATCATAATATTATATAAATAAATGCAAAAGTTCGGATGGATGGATATTTGATACTCATTCACGCTAGAACAGTTAAACGGATCTGGATGAAATTTGGCGCAGAGGTAGATTTTAGTGGAATAGCACATAAGCTACTTTTTACCCCGGGAAAAAGCACGGTTCCCGTGGGATAGGTTTGTTTTTGTTTTCCTAGAGGTGAACCCGAGCGAAGCGAGGGTGAGCCGCTGGTACTGGGTATTTCATTAGAATGGGATATATGTATAACAATTCTTACAGTATACATTTTTATACTGACACTAAGGAAATGTACGTAGATATATAAAATAAACAATTAGAAACAAGTGATGAAGATAGAGAAATTGTCTGTCTGTTTGCTGGTTTTAAGTACTAACCTAAATTTTCTCGTTTTTAGCCTTGAGGTGGTACAAAATGTTTTTTAATTATATTAAGTATGTATCTGTAAATGTTTACAGCTCTCAATAAGCTATGAGATCATTTTGATTTAAAAATATTTTGTTTACTTAAAAATTACTCCGTTATACTTAACTTATTACAACAGTTATTAATATACCAGACTATAATCTATCTGTGCCCATCCGGATCCGTTCAGCCGTTCTGTCGTGCAAGAGTAACAAACATCCATACTCACAAACTTTCACATTTATAATATTAGTATAGATCTATAATTAATTATTATGCCTAAAATTATTTTTATTCTCTTTTTGTACATTTAAGTAAAAAAAATACTTATTGCGGTGGATCTGTTGTTGTAGTAGTTGACTTTTCTGTAGGTCTTTTTAAGACCTGCAATTTTCTAATATATTGTTTTGAAGTATGCCCAAGTAAACTTCACAAACTTTCCTCGTTTATCGCTCTTTCTATTAGCAAAAACTGTGTCAAATTGATTGTAGCTTGGAAGAAGTAAGGGGAGTAACAGGCAGAGGCAGGCAGTGACTTTGCGACGAGTTATATAAATATTTAGATGTAGATATACTAGAGAGACCTACGCTCGAAAAAAAAAAATTTTCTTTAAAAAAGAAAGATTTATACGGCATTTAATTTTTAAATATGTTAATTTTTAACCCTGCTACTACTGGTTTTAGTGCAATAAACCTATAAATTTTTTTGTATGAACTCGAACTCGACCGAACCAGTTATAGTATTTTCCCGTAGGAACGAGAGAAACTATGTTGACGAAAGTATTAAATTTTAGAAACAGACAAAAATTACAACAAGTAATTTTACTACTAATTTTACAGTTTGTATTTTGTAGACATTTAACGTAACATGTACAGATCTTACTTTATTACAACAAATTTTATTTTTATATATGTACTAGCAGAACCCACGAAAACTAAAAAAACTCCAAAAAGGTAGTTTCATACATAATTTTATTCCCTATTTTACCCCCTTATAGGATAAATTTCGAAAAATGCTAAAACACATATTTATTTAATTTTATCGATGAACATTAATACCTACCAAGTTTCAAGTAATTCTGATCACAAATATTTTTTGGATTGAATTATAACGTGTTTTCCCGTGGGAATTAGATAATTTCCCGCGATAAAAATTATGCCTATGTCACTCTCTATTCCTCCAACTATCTGCACACAAAAAATCTCGCCAATCCGTCACTCCATTTCGACGTGAAATAAGGACAAACAAACAAACACACAAACACACTTTTTATAATATTAAAAGTATGGATATATAGATAAAATATCTTCTTTTCCTTCTTGTTAGTTATGGCAACCTAACTGACTTTACAACTAACTTCTGCCAATACCAATGAAATAGTATATTAATTTAGACTATTTCAGCACTTTCCTATACTTTAGTTGTATTGATACATTTTATAAACTTTATAAATGTAAAATGACTATGACGACAGCTCAGTTTGTCGCCGCTTTATAAATCGAATCTATATTCAAAATTATATTACATCAAAATTGTTTCTATAGACATTAGAAATACATTATAAAACCTGTCATCGTGTCAGGTTTTTATGAGATATTTAAATCGCATTTCGTTACATACGCATTGGAATTTTTAGTTTTTTTTTAAACTGAGCACAAAAATAATATTAACATCATCGCTCTTTAAATAACTAAATAATTATATGCATAATAGATATCTTTTTTATTTAATGCCCGTATTTTTTAGGTTCTAGTAGATTCGTTTCTACATAATTAAAGTTCAAAGGAAGCATGATTTTAGATTTTATTTATAAAAAAATATGAAAGCACACATTCAGCCTATTTAGTTAGCTAGTTTATAGAATTACTATTTTTTTTTTTTTTTTATTTATTAAGAACAACAACATAACACACAAATACATTTTAAATTCATTCCTAATACATAAGTTCTAGTATGTTAGTCTCTTACAGGTGTCCATAGCACTGACCAACAAATTACATACATGCACTGCTAATATAAAAAGAAGATAAAGTGACTACAAAATAAGGGCAAAAACTTGAAAAACATTAAAATTTATAAATAGGGTTTAAGTTATCTT